ATGACTTGTATTGATTTATTCGACATAGGGGTCGGGAGGTTGGAGAACGCTCGGCATTTGTCGAGGTTCGCTTCAATTCCTTGTTCCGTCAGGTAGAATCCGAGGAATTTCCCCGCCTTGACTCTGAACGTGCATTTTTCGGGGTTGAATCTCATCTTACATTGTCTTGCTTGGGCGAAGACTGCTTTGAGGTGTGCTGCATGGTCGGTGTCTGCTCGGGATTTGACGATCATGTCGTCCATGTAAACCTCGAGGATATCTCCAATCTGCTTGTGGAACACCCTGTTCATCATATGTTGGTAAATTGCCCCGACATTTTTTTGTCCAAAAGACATTACGTTGTAGTAATAATTGCACGAGCTGGTCATGAAAGTCGTGCAATGTTTGTCGCCCATGGCCATTGGGATTTGGTTATAGCCCGAGTAGGCATCCATGAACGACAATGTTTTGTAGCGGGCCGAGTTGTCGACCAGCATATCTATGTTCGGTAAAGGGAAAGCATCTTTCGGGCAAACTCGGTTGAGATCGGTATAGTCAACACACATCCTCCATTTTCCATTATTCTTTTTAACTAGTACAACGTTTGACAGCCAAGTTGAATATCGGGCTTCAGAAATAAAATTCTCCTCTAGGAGGTCTTTTACCGCTTTTTCAGCAGCCTCCGTTTTCTCCGGAGACTGCCTACGCCTATGTTATACTACGACCTTAGCGGCAGGATCTATGGCGAGACGGTGACAGGCGACCTCAGGGTCGAGTCCGGGCATCTCTGCGACGCTCCAGGCGAACAGGTCAACATTCTCGCGCAAGCAGGCTTTGATCTGTTTCCTCGCTAGGTTGGGGAGGTCAATGCCAATCTTCACTCCCTTGCTCGGGTCTGCACCGAGGGGGCGAGCTCAAAGTCCCCGTCCGGGATTGGTCGGAGGGGGATTTGCTTGCTGCTGGGAGGTTTGTCCTGGTCGAAACGAGCATCCAGAGCTATGCTGTCGACCTTTGGTGGAGCTCTTTGGTCTTCCTCCTTGGCGGGCTCTGGCTTGTCGGGTTCCTGTCATGTCGTCGCTGGTCTTTTGGCGGGCCTCGTCCCGATGTCGACAGTGTCGCGTCCTTTAGATGCAGCGTTGAAACACCTCCGAGCAGCGGCTAGGTCTCCCTGGATGGTAGCTACCCGTGCCCTCTTGGTGTAGAACTTCATCTTCGGGTGGATGGTGGAGGGTACCGCTGTCAGTTCTGCCAGTGTTGGTCTCCCCAGGATGCAGTTGTAGAGGGACGGACAGTCGATGACGAGGAAGCGTACTTTAACCTGCCTTGTCGCTGTGACTTCGCCGAAGGTAACCATGAGCTTGACATATCCCCAAGGCTTGGAGGTCTAGCCATTGAAGCCCTGTAAGTCCGACCCTACATATGGCGAGAGATGGGAGTCGTCCAGCTGCAGAGTTCGGAACAATTGACTGTACATCACATCGACGGAACTTCCTTCGTCGACGAGGATGTGGTGCACATCAAAGTTAGCCATTCTTGCTCTTATCAGCAGGGGAATGGCTGCATTGGGGGCTCCTTCGGGGAGCTCTTCCAGGTAAAAGGTGATAGGCTCCGACCTACCTTTTACCCTCTCAAAGGTCACTGTTTGCGGGGGTTCCGCGTCGACCAGTTCATCCAGCTTCCTTTTAGCCGAATTGATAGTCAGGTCGTTGAATCCTCCACCATTAATGACCATGGAGGAGGGAAAGTATTCCCACCTGCTGTGTGTCGTGAGCGGCTCCTGCAGGTGCTCGGGGACGTAGAAGTCCTCGGGTCTGGTGACGGAGAAGGCGGTCTGGACGGGGATTGACTCGTCAGATGGTCGGGCGTCTTCCTCCGGTTCTCTTGCTTCTCGGGCGTCACGATGAGGAGCGTCGTTTTGCCGGTATTGGGCGAGCCTCCCTCCCTTGATGAGGGTTTCAATGGCGTCCTTGAGGTGGACGCAATCTTCAGTCAGATGACCATGGCTCCTATGGTACTGACAATACTTGCTCTTGTCTGCTCCGGGCTTGGCGGGAGCAGGTCGGGGGCGTTTGACGCCGCCGCCTTTAAAGTCCGTGCTGGCACACTCCACCAAAATGCGCTCGCGGGAAGCTGTGAGCGAAGTGTATTCGGTAAAATGCCCCGAGGGTCCTCTTTGCTCTCGGACTTCTCGGGGTCTGTCCTCTTTTCTTTTCTCCCCGGTTCGTCGAGGAGGAGCAGCTTCCTGGCGCGGGTTGCTGCTGGATCCGCGAGTCCTGGGGTCTCGGGCTCTGTTGGTTGCCTCCCTCTCCTCGTAATCCATGTACGCCCGCGCCTTCTCGAGGAGGGCATCGAATGTTCTAGGTGGCTCGATGCCCACTGCCTTTCTGAATTCTGTGTCGGGGAGGAGCCCCCTCTCCAGCAAATATCTTTTCATGTGGTCCGCGCAGGGGACCTGGATGGCTTCGCGGTTGAAGCGATTGATAAACTCTCTCAGGGTTTCATCCTGTCTCTGGATGATGGCCTCGAGAGCCGCCTCGGTCTTTGGGCGTCACTGAGACGCAGTGAACGAACTTATGAATTGGTTCTTCAGGTTTCGCCACGAGGTGATTGATCCCGGAGTGAGGCCTTTATACCAGTCCATTGCTGCCTTTCTGAGGGTCGTGGGGAACAACCGACATTTGATGGGTCCCCAGACATTGTGGTAGTGCAGCATAGCCTCGAACCCGTCGATGTGGTCGACTGGGTCCGCGACTCTGTCGTATTCCTTCAGATGTGGAGGCTTCTCCATGCCCGGGGGTATGGGCGCCTCCATGATTGCTTGTGACAGGGGACCGCGGGGGTCGTCCTCGTCACTTCGCTCCGGGGAGAGCGATGGGGACCTGTAATATTGTCGAGCCCGACGGTCCTGGTCGTGCTGGGAATCTCTTAAGCGTGGTGCTCGTTGGTTGATTCTTCCATGCCCGTCTCCGGAGTGTCTTCTTTCTTGTCGTGTGGGGGCGTGGCTGCGTCCCCCGACTTCGATGATGGGTTGCCTCTCCAAAGGGGGCCGTCTCCTCGAGGGTCAGGGAGACGGGCTTCGAGAGGTGTCTCTGTAGTGTCTCCGCGGGGGAGACGGAAGATGTACCTCTGTTACTCGAGGAGGTGGAGTTTGGGGCCTCCTGTGTCTCCTCGCATGTCTTCGATCGTCTTCTAGTGCCCTCAATCTTTCCCCTTGGGCGAAGATGAGGTAATTCGTCTGATTGATCGCCGCAAATAGTGCGCGGGTTGTGGCATCTGCCCCGGCGGGGACAGGGACTTCCTGAAATTGGGCAGCTCGATAGTTTGTGGGAGCTCCGTTGTCTTCTTCGAGCGGCGGAGGGACTGAAGAGGATGATGCAGTAACTCCGTTGCGGTGGACTGAGGGCCCGAGGTTGGTGCCCCCAGGGAGTGAGTTATGACCGGGGTTACCGGCGTTATCGGGGAGTCCATTTTTATCTGCGAGGCCATTGTTGGTGTCGACAACGCATATGTTTTGGTCATCACGAACTTGGTCAGCCATGACGGTAGGAGGTGATTTGAGCTTTGGTCTTCGAGGTTTTGCAAGACGGGGAAGCTAGTTTCCCACAGACGACGCCACTGATCTTACCTGATCAGACTTGGACCGTCACGACTGGCTCTGAGCGAAAGTTGAACGAGACGGGGGGGGGGGGGGGGGGGGTACCTGCAAGGCACTCCGATGCTAAAGTGAGTGATAGTACGAGCAGGCAAAAAGTGTGTGTATGGGTAAGAGAATGAATACCTGACCCTCTAGGAGTAGAGGGTATTTATAGCCCCCAGCGCGGGGCCAAAGTCCCTTCATTGGGCCGACCAGGACTGACCCAATAAAGGAACTGCCAGGTTCTACGTGTGTAGTGGGGACCCGCACGTGGTCCCCTTCATGGTGATGCTCTGCGAGAAGTACGGAGGGACAAGGACGCGGTCTTTCCGGAGTTCAGGTGATGGAGTAACGGTCATAGTCTGCCCTACGAGGAGGGTGCTCGAGCTAGGCTCGAGTTGGACTTCATGTGATCGAGAACGTCATGTTCGCGGGCAGCGGCGGGCAAGGCTGCAGCTTCTGGTCGACGCGCTGACGGGAATCTTCGAGCGCGCGCTCCTTAAAGAGTTGCTTGGATTAGGCCTTCGTTCTTGCTCTTGGGCCAGGACGGGCCCAGTTCAGAACAACAACCAAACTAAATCAAGAGCTATTTTTACTATATGGATGGTCTTGATGGGCAGACTAAGCACCAAAGATAGATGGGTAAAGTTTGATATAACTAATGAGAGCATCTAATTTACTAATCAAACTAAAGGCAAAGGATAGAGAAGAAACATTTTAAAGATTGCTACGGCTCAAAACCATTTATGAGATTTGGAATTTGAGAAATGCTATCAACTTTTTGAGGACTTCTTTGAGTCAAGACATAATGTAGCACATTAAAAGTACTTTAGTAGTGACTAGATGCACCATCAATAAAAAAAACTTAGCACACATATAGATAGTAGCACTTTGAGAATTATTGACTAGTTATTTAGTATCTTGTTTTGGTTGCCTGTCTGAATCTTAAAGGACTGACATGTATTAACTTTTTTTTTTATTAATAAAATATTTCTTTATTCCAAAAAAAAAAAATCTAATTATTTTAAATAAATTACTTTGTGTTTCTTCGATAGTATACCAGTTTAATTAATTTCACCTTACTCTGACATCAATATAAACTTTATCTAATGTGAATATATATGATAATGATTTATTAATCACTATTCAAATTTATTAGTTCCACTTCCACCTCATCATATAGGATAATAATTATTTTGAGAGCTTAAGATTAAAATTTGAAGGTTAAAGGTAGAAGAGAATCTGCTGACACCATATCCAAGAAAAGATAATCCAATCCGTTAAAATCAGTTAGAGGCTTGTATTAACCCATTTATCTAACCCTCCATCTGAACTGAGAGGGAACCCTTCACCTTCAGAGCTTCAAACTCTGAAAAATCTCTAGGTGATGGCGTTATCAACTCCTCCACAAATACAGAGATTCCTCTTAACCAAACTCCATAAACGCTCCTCCACCACCTCTTCCAAATCCAACAACCTCCACAAAAATAGAACCATAAACATCTTCAGTGCCATCACCAACAACCGAAGAAGCCGGTGCTACTCTGCCATAGCCATTGACGCACCTTCCTCTTTGACGGACTCTCCTCCTATTAGATGGGGATCCGTTTCCTTGCAAGGTCCACGCGAAGAAATGGAAGATGATATTCTTCTTCGACCCGATTGTCTTCAAGGTTATTCTTTCGCTGCTGTGTTTGATGGCCATGGAGGGTTTGCGTCTGTCCAGTTTCTCAGGTTTATCTTAGGTTAATTAATCATGTCTGATTTATGTTAATTCTAAATTGATTATGCTAGTTTAATTAATTTTGTAACCAATTTGTAACTAACTTGTAACCAATTTCTAACTGACTCGCAACTAATAACTAACTTTCATCTCGTGTAACCAATTTGTAACTAACTTGCAACTAATAACTAACTCTCGTCTTAGTGTAATGAATTTGTAACCAATTTGTAACTAATTTGTAACTAACGTGCAACTAATTTGTGACTGATGTTAATATCTCTAACAAAGGCTGAGTTTTACTATGATCAAATTTGATACTTTAATTGCTACTGTAAGACCAATTGCACAATCTAAATTGTTTTTTTTTTCTGTTGTGCCAATTACAGGGATGAACTATACAAGGAGTGTTTTGAAGCTCTACAAGGTGGGTTAGTATTGCTTGGGAAAGATTACAAAGCTGTTGAAGAAGCAATAAAACAGGCATTTGCAAAGGCAGATACGAGTTTGTTGAAATGGTAAGCCAATTAATGCATACTTTTTTCATAAAATGTGTCTAATTCAATAGTTTCTAAATGATTCTAGATTTGGTATGATTACATTGAATTGAAGGTTTAGACTTTAGACAGTATTTTGTTTTTAAAGGCTTGAAATGAAAGGGGGAGAGGAGGATGAATCAGGTGCTACAGCAACTGCCATATTCCTTGGGGATAATAAGCTGCTAATTTCACATATTGGTGACTCATCTGTGGTATGTATTATTATCTATCCTTATTGTGCCTTCATACACTAAGAATCCAAATGTATATAGTACGATAGGGGATATAATGATACGATACAAAACAGATATGAGAAATTTCAAAAATCAAGATAATGGCGCGGCCAAAATGCATCAACAAAAATATGTGTGCATATATAACACAAAAAGTGCACAATGTTTATAACGAAACTGAGACGTTCACATTGCTAATTTCTTATTAGTGCATATTATATACAAGTAGTATCGTGTGGCGATCATCACAATTTACAAAATTAATGAAAAAATACTTAATATGACAAATGAGAATTGATACTTTGACACAAAATTTACCATCTACACCGTATGAAAATACGGTATCATCTACTGTTTTTCTTTTTTATTTATTTTTTATGTAAATTGAAGTTTGTGCCACTTCAAAATGAAACTTATGAGATACGGTGTTATAATTCCAATGTCATTATAGCATCCCTCATGACAAATAGACATAGTTACGTATCTTTATCCTGCCAATATCAGAATATATTCTTTTTATTATGAAAGTGCTGCAAAAATCGTACAATTCGGAGTCAATAGTTAGTAATTTATTGAAGATGTGTTGTATCCAAATGACATCAGTGTCTTTAGTTGGTAAGAAGTATTGACAATGTATCTGAAAAGTATCTAGGAAAATACTTTTGAAGAGAATATTATTGGATACTATTTAGATGCATATTGGGAAATATCAGATGCGGATCGATGTTGGATACATGCCTGACACCAATGTTTTTCCCTTTTTGAGGACCTTATGAAAGTTTTGCTTTGAGCGAGGTTACTGGGTTACATGAAATACAAAGAAGTTGAATGAGGGAATTTATGACTTTTAGGGATGGGTTGATGGGCCTTTATTATAAAGAAGCCGTTTTGTACATATTCCATTAGTCCCACCACTTTAGTACAATTCACAAGGCTTGATACATCTGACTAGGGCTACTTCTTTATATGCTTTTCTGTTTAAAAGATTTATTAAGAAAAAATCAATCACAGAATATTTATCATTCAATTAGGATATCTTGAGGATTGAATTGAATGTCATCAAAATCGTATGACTTCAATTTAAGCTATTTTGTAGGTTTTATGCAGATCTGGAAAACCAGAATTGCTGACTAGTCCTCACCGTCCCTATGGGAGCAACAAGGCTTCTCTTCAAGAAATCAAAAGAATCAGAGAAGCAGGTGGATGGGTGTGTTTTCCTTGTTCCTTCATTTTTTTTTATATGCTCTTTGAGTTTGGCTAACTTCCGTGGTCGTGTTTTTATACAACTTAAATGAAAATTCTGAGTTGTGACAACTCGGGACGTGAACCAATTAACTTGATGTTTTATGGAATGTAAAGCCATTTACCATTTCCAAGTGTTATGGTTTATTTTGGTTCGGCTGTTGCAGACGCTAGAACATGAAATATATTTTCTTTATAATAAAAGCACATTTACATATGGCTGATGATTACTTAAATGTGTATTGCCTTGTATCTAGATTGTCAATGGTAGGATTTGTGGAGATATCGCTGTATCTCGTGCATTTGGGGACATTCGATTCAAAACGAAGAAGAATGAGTACCGTCCTTTATCTCCACATCATTCCTTCTAGTACTATAAAGGAATTTATTCTATGACTGTCAAAGTATTTCCTAATGGTTATCTATGTACCTTTTACATGTGAAAAGGATGCTAAGAAAAGGAGTTCAGGAAGGAAGATGGACAGAAAAGTTCATTTCTCGGTAGGTAATCTTACGTATGTCTTAACAATTGTTTCTTGCTTTATTAATTGTTGGTTATTATATTAAATTTGACATTTAACTAATCTTAGAAACTCTCATGTTTTGATACTAATGATTTCTTTTGATCAGTGTACAATTCAACGACGACTTGGTTGTTGCACGCCCTGATATTTATCAAGTATCTCTTGGCTCAGATGCAGAATTTATAGTCTTAGCATCCGATGGCTTATGGGATTACATGAGCAGGTCGATTGCATTTGCATGATCCTCAAAATCATTTCTGCTACCCTTTTTTGGTTCTGCAGAGAATAATTACCTTCACAATCTTGCTACCCTTGCAGCTCAGATGCAGTTTCTTTTGTGAGGGAGCAACTACGAAAACATGGAAACACACAGGTTTATCTAAGACTTTATTATATTTGAGACATTTTAATTCATATCGATAAACCATTGACGTGGCAGCAATAACACTCTGTTCATATATCAGCTAGCTTGTGAATCCCTTGCACAAGTCGTTTTGGTAAGATTTAATAAATTTTGTCTCAGTTATTATCATGAACTTATTATATTGACACTACAGTTTTAGTAATTCATTATCATACACTCCGCAGGACCAACGTACACAGGATAATGTCAGCATTATAATTGCCGATCTAGGGTATGTACTTTGTCATGTATTTATGATTTTGGACTTCAGCCATTAGGCTCTATTATTGGCTACCGCTATGTCTTTGTGTCTTATATTGAGTGCTTGCAGGAAGACAGATTGGAAGACAGTGCCACTGCAGAAACAAAATGTCATAGTTGAGCTTGTCCAAGCCATCGCCACGGTTGGAATTGTGTCTATTGGAATCTGGTTTTCATCACAGCTTTCTTTATAGATTCAATAGCATAATAGTACTGTACATAGACACATACTTGTTAACTTTCTGCCTGTATTATATTAAGTGTACATGTCACATATCTTAGAATCTACTTGTGGTTTAGAAAATATCACGTTGTTTTCTTTTAAAATACATATTGACTATTTATTTACAATATACAAATAAGCTAATTCAAATACTTATTTTGGCTTTTCAAAACAATTTTGTCGCTAACATTAATACTCTTTCCACCTTTAGGAGTGCGTTCCACACCCTTGGGAATCCGAAATCACCCTTAATGCGTTTGGAGATCATCTCTTGACACGCCCAAAATCACTTAAGTATTTGTCTTTCTGATATTCACCCCATTTTTAACAAAATATAATTCAGAGATGCATGTCCGTATGTTATTTGGGTGTATCTAGAAATGCATCTCTCAAATATCTTATGTACTCAATTGTTTTATTTTTATTCATTAAATTTGATTTTTTTTAAGCACACATATTTTAGGTCTTTTTCATCATGAATTAGAAGAAAAAGACATACATTAATTGGTTTAAATGTATTACACAATTATTAAAAAAGTCATACAATTATTAAAATGTATTGACAATATATAAGTTGTTCCGAAAATATAAAAAATACAACCAAACAAAAATCTATTGGGTATGTCGAACTCTCTGCTTTTTCCTTCGCCTGTACTGTAAGGCATTTTGTGCCTCATCAATCATGCCTTCCACGAGGGCCAACTGTGAATTATCATCCTAAAAACGTCCTGCCTATATGCATATCTCCATATCTCCACAATATGCAGACAGACCGCCAACAGATACTCAATGTGGTTCATCTCTAACCTCAAGTACTTCCTGATTAGCTGACCTAGGTGATCTTCTAGGAGCGTATGGCGTCAAGATAGGGTGTGACACCCTATAGAATCATTTCACGTAATCATCAACATAAGCCCACTGAAAAAGAGCTGACACCCTGCATTTTAGTTTTTCTCTAACAAATGTAACTCATATTATGTATATAGTGTTGTCCATAATGTAATAAAATTGGGTGGTAATTTTTTGGACAATGTTTGTGTTTTTAAATTCCGCACCGCATAATACATTGGTTCTATATCAATAGTGGTTTTAGTGGGTCCGAAGATTTGGAGATACATCTCCGGGCACGCCTTTTAATTATTTAAAAAATAAAACAGGGGACTATACGAATGTGCGTCTCCGTAAAGATCTTTATTTAAATAAAAAATAGGGCGTACCCGGAGATGCATCTCTGAAATAAGTCACGATAATATGATGGGGTTTGTAAGGTTCTAATTGATCTACAACTTCTATAAATAGGATCCCTCATACTATTTTCTTTACAAAACTACAGTGAATACATATCTCCATCTTGCATTTGTGTATTTCGATGGTGCAAATCTCATACTTCAATTTAAGGTTTCAGAGGACATACTTCTTGTTGATTTGATATCCAAACTGAATACTCATGCGATATCCAGAAAATTGAAGAGTTGTAAAGCTCGAGTAATGTTCACCATCGATTGACAATAAAGGGAAGATGCAGTTCACCATGCTTGAACTGAAAATGGATGATGATTTAAAGGTTATGTGGAACACCTTTTACTATTACTCAACAAAGGATTTGATTGAAGTGGATGCAATGATTGCAAGATCAGTCGAAGATATTATAAGGATGTTACAACGTCCTGAACCACCCATTTGTAATGACATATAATGTTAAATTTATGTTGAGGTTAACAATTATCTATGTAATATTTATTTTGATGTTAATTTATAATGTTTTTCCATTCTGTCATTGTTCCTGATTGTTTCATTTTAACTAACATAGAATATTCCAGAGATTCATCTCCAAAAAAATCAATGAATATTTGAAGTTCTTTGTGAAATGGTCCTTTGAATTGACTTCATTTCGCAAAACAACATAGAAGAAGTGTTCAAGTTGATCTAGCTTGTTAAAGTTGTATGGAGCTCCAGAAGGTACAAAAGTTGGACACGATGTCCTAGCATGTTGCTCGACATCTAGGCCTTGTGTATCAGGACTCAGCCGTTGCATTTTGGAAGAATATCTAATCAAAGATTGGATAAGATTTTGTTGTTATTAAGATGACAATATGATTATATGATTTGTTGGATAATTGTGAAGATCAAATAAAATTTAAAGAGATTTAAATTTGAATTTGTAACAAATCAAATCATATCTTTTTGTTGGAGATATTCAAGGAACAAATTAAATCTCCAACTAAATCATCAATATTTATGAACGAAATCAAATCTCAAATCCATGAAGAAAAGCCCAGAAAAATTGTTATATAAGGAAGACACAACCAGCTAAAGCATTCAAGCATTCAAGTATACACATTAAATATTTATAGAGTTCTAGGTTTTGTATCTTGTATTCCATGCTAATGCCATAATAGTATTAGTGTAGAATCTATATGTACACCTCTATGTTTCAGTAACTTGGCATATAAGGTTTGTCTAGTTTAGTTGTAAAATTTAACATCATTCAACATGTTTATTAAAGTTGATCACTAGGGTTTAGTGGTTGTAACATCCTATCACGAATTGTGTGATAGAGAAAGAAAGTGGGTGGTTTCTCATATTCAGTGGGAGTCTCTAAATAAAAAGTCATTGGGTAGTGTTAGGAAGAGGCAATGATAACATGGGATTGTTGTTGCTTGTAAGTATAAATGTATTATGCTACTAATAGTGAATTTCCTTTATTTGGGTTGTAGATTTAACCCTTCAGACGTAGGTATGGTTTCACTAAATTGGGTAACCATTTCTTTGTATTATTTATTATTTTTCAGCTTCATCAACTTGCATAACTCATTTTGTTATATCTGTGTTAATTCTAGTACGACTTATCGAACCTATTGTTGGAGCATCGAGTTCGACATTTGTCCCCTGAGGAACATAATTTCAATTGGCATCAAAGCAGGTACCTAGCATGTAGGGTGAGCTCCAAGAAAAATAAATTCTGATTAAATGGAGACAATGAAAGATGGAGGATCATTCAACAAACCACCAATTTTAGATGACACCAACTATAATTATTGGAAGTCAATGGTGAATATATTTCTCAAATCCACGAGAAATAAAGCATGGAAAGTTCTGTTTAAAGGTTAGAAACAACTAGTGATTACTTTTGAAGATGGTACAATCATGTTGAAACCAAAGGTTGATTGGACTGATGCTAGAGATGATAAAGCTCTTGGAAATTCCAAGGCTCTGAATGTTATTTTCAATGGTGTGGATAAGAACATGTTTAGATTGATCAACACATGTTCAGAGGCTAAAGAAGCATAGGAGATTCTCAAGATTGCACATGAAGGCACACCCAAAGTTTGTATGTCAAGGTTGCATCTACTTACCACCTAGTTTGAAAATCTAAGGATGAATAAAGATAAATCTATCAGTGAATTTCACATAAGATTACGTGATATCACCAACACTTCCTTTTCTTTAGGAGAAAACATGTCAGAAGAAAAGCTTTCCAGGAAAATTCTTAAATCATTGCCTAAGAGATTTAATATGAAGGTGACTGCTATTAAAGAAGCTCGGGACTTAAACAATATCAAGGTTGATAAACTCATTGGTTCTTTACAAACCTTTGAGATATCCATTAATGACATGGTTGAAAAGAAAAACAAAGGTATAACCTTTGTATCTAACACTCAGGAGGAAAGAAGTCATGATGATGAAGAGGAGAGCATGTTAGAAGCTATAGCTCTTATTAGGAAAATGTTCAACAATTCCTTGAAGTATCTGGATAGAAAATGGAGGATAAATGTCCAAGAAAAAAGGTCCAACATCAGTCCCCGGAACAAAGGCAATGGTGAAGACGAATCCAATGGTGGAAAGGGTACTAAGTGCTTTGAATATGAAGTTTATGGACACATTAGTGGAGAATATCCTAGCTTTCTAAAGAGATAGAAAATAACATAAACATCACTTTGTATGATTATGATAGTGAAGGTAAGGGAGAAACTGCCAACAATGTGATGACTTATTCTGGAAGATTTGAATATGCAATTGTATCCAACATTAAAGACATGTCAAAAGAAGAGTTTGATACATCCTTTGGGATCTTGCATTACAAGTGCAAATAAGCATGCTCAAGAATAGATAAACAAAAGGAAACCACAAATGGTCTTTAGAAGGAAACAAATAAGCTTATTTCAACCACCACAAGTGTAGAAAAAGAGATTTTTGTACTAAACTTCAAAATAGATTATTTGATACAATTGGATAGAAATTTAAAACTAGTTCAAATGCACTTTATGGAAAGATGGAGTTTGGAAAGATGCCTAGTTGTATGAAGAGAATAGATCTTGAGGCGAGCATGAAAGAGATGAAGATTTACTCAAGTAAATGAGGTATACATAAAAAGAAAACTAAGGTTCTGATGTCCGACCACATGTCTCAATATCATGCTCAACATGTGTCAACTCGTCACATGAGTGTCAAGAAACAACCTCTAATATTTCACCACTGTGGTAAATATGGACATACAAGGCCTAGTTGCGATGCTCTGCTAAACTTGAAGATTAGACGCAAGGATGTGCAAGATAAAAAGAAGAGGAAACACAATGAAAAGACTACTGGCTCATTAGCTCATGCAGTACATAAAGGTTTATTTAGTAAATAATCACATTGTAATGGTAAGAGTACCTAGAATAGGTCTAAAGAAAATAATTCTTATGATAATAAATAAAAGGAAAGAATCAAGACCTTCAGGAATTTGGTTGATTGTGATTAAAGGAGGAATATGAACTTCAACAATTCCAAAGCTGGTGAAACCAATAAAGGAAAAGGAGTTCTTATGAAAAATGTCACATCTAAGGAAGACTTCAGGGGTATGCAAGACCTCATGATTGATAAATCTAATGTGGAAAGTCAAACCAAGATCTCAGAGCATATGTTCCAACATATGTCTCAGAAGTATGAATTGTCCCTTGAGAATTATTTAGGACTTAAGCAAAAAGG